TTTGTTGTGTGGCTTGTGCTATAGGAGACTAATGTTCGGTTTAAAGAAAGCAGTCTTCTGGGATTTGGCACCGACATGCAAGGTGCCAAATCCCAGAAGACTGCTTTCTTCATAGTCACCGCCGTGGAAATCTCAAATCTTGCATAATGTTCGGTTCATATGTGGTCTTATACAATATGCCATTGTGGCGAGTTAAGAGGGCGTGTCTATACAAATCATGGTTATGTCGAAAAGAGTGTTCCTGTGATTGTCTTCGTAGGTTTCTAGTTCATCTATCAATTTTCTGCATTGTTTATTTACATAAATTTTATATTTATTTGTATAAATATAAATATTTTCTGTTCTAATGCGAACCTTTTTAGTGCGATCTATTTTGTCCTTCTATTTTTTTCCATAGTGACGCAAGTTTATTAATACGATGTTCTGCGGGTAAGTATTTTCACGCGCTCACATTTTCATAATTATATAATTAAATCAATACATGATCTAATCCATTCCTCTATTATATATGTTGATAGAAACACACATCTCGCCGGTCACGGTAGCCGAGCGGTCTAAGCATGTACTGTCTTCGCTCGCTCGGAAGCCGGGATCGTGGGGTTGAATCCCACTCAGGGCATGGATGTTTAGTGTTTGTGTATATATGTGCGTTTTTCTGTGCGTGTGTGTGCGACGAGCTGATCACCCGACCAAGGTGTCCTACCGTGTGTCTAAGATTAGTAAACCGAAGTGGAACGGAGAGTTTCATGGAGGCAGGCCAAAGCCCAAATTGGGGCTGTAGCGCCAAAGAAAAAAAACATCTTCACTCAGCTGGAACGTATTAATTAAACCAATAGTATTATATGTCGAAGTATTATTTTTTTTATTGCTAGTGGGGTGGGACTAAGTCCCTTGTACTGCGGCCACTTCTGGCCTATTGTACCAGCCCCAGATGATAGGCGAGGGTGAGTGTGGAGCAATTGGTGGAATGAAGATTGGCAGGAGAAACCGAAGTACTCGGAGAAAACATACCCCAGCGGCGCTTTGTCCACCACAAATCCCACTTGACCAGACCCCGGGATCGAACACGGGCCGCCGCGGTGGGAAGCCAGCGACTAACCGCTTGAGCTATGGCACGGCCATATATGTCGAAGTAACTTTTAATTAGTTAAGAAGTTTTATTTTTCACTATTATTTTAAGATATATGAACCTAATACAGACACACGTATTGCTAATATATACAGTGTTTCCAATTAATGTTGATGAAATCTCTGATGATGGCCAAGACATGCCGAAACATGTAAGGTAATTTGTGTATTCAGAATAAACCGGTCCAATCTGAATGGATATACAGAGTGTAAATAAATATATATTAAACCCTCTGTGGTAGATAGATGGATTCAATCTGACCATGTAGGTCGTTCAACCGTCGAGGAAACCTGGTAACAGCGCTGATGGGGCTCAACATTCCCCACAGATTGCTGCTGCAACTGCCGATAGCGCAATGAGTCATTAGCGCTGATAAACGCGCACGCTCTCGCTAGCGCAGTGCGGATGGAACGTTTCTCCGCGACTACTGTGCCCCTCACCGCTAGCGAGAGTGCAGTCCTCTTGCTGATACCCTCACATCAGTTTCTGTACATGCACACATGTATAAGAATAGTGTAAGAAGATAACACAAACTTACCTTGCTTTATAACAGGTGCTCAAAGTGACCCCTTTCTGCTTGCAAATATCCCTCACAACGTACAAATAAATTATGCGACTTTTTCTGAAGCTGGTCCACGGTAATTGAACCAATTACGCGTGTTATTTCATTCTGCAGAGATTAAGTGGTGGCACCTTAGTGCCAAACGGAAGCGTTTCCTGATATGGGCGTATTAACAAAATATGATCAGACTGAAACCATCTATCTGTAACAGAGCAGGGCGACATGTTAATTTACACTCTGTATAATTCTTACATACTAATATATGTTGTCACGAACAAGATACATATAGTCGTGATATATACGTACATTCTTTTCTGAATGCATGTGCATTTACTGGAGTGAAAAGTGCTTCGAAGAGAAGTTATAGAGGAAAACTGAAACAGACATTTCATACCGAATACACACTCTACGTGGGGCGCACGGATATAGGGATAATTACAAGGAAATTATTTCTGAGCTGAAGAAAGCAGTTTTCTGGGATGTTGCGCCTGCTCACGCTGGTTCGCTCGTGGATATCCACTCCCCCATATGCCTTCATGGGGTAGTGCTTAATTAGTTAAACACAGGGACAACTTTATCTTTTACTTTAAAAATGATAAATTGTATGGATTAGATCTAAAAAATTGGGATGGCTCAGTTTGTATAGCGACGGGCTGTGGGCTGAGCGGCTGGGGTTCGAATCCTGGCAGGTACAGAACGGCTCTGTGGCCCACCCAGACTCCTATCCAAAGGATACCTTCAGCAATATCCCCTGAGATATATTGGCCGAGGCGTGAAGCTGACCACTTGCCTCATTTAGTACCGAGGTCAAGAATTGTGGAGCTATACCTCCTCCCCGCCATATTTCTTAATGTCGTCGTGCTTAATTAATTAAACGCAGGATCAGCTTTACCATGGATTGTATCTATCTGGCTCAGAAAAGGGTCTAGTGGAGAGTTCTTGGTGACATGATAATGAAGCTTAGAGTTCTGTACAGGAACAACAAGATCTTGAGTTGCTCAGAAAGTATTACTTTCTCAAAAAGGGGCTCTGCTCTGTGAGTTGCTTTAGGGCTGAGGTCTGATGTTATGTTTGCTGGCAGAATAAAGCTACGCGCACAATTAAAGTTCCTAGCGCATTCTGGCGGCATTATTACTGTACTACTTTGTACTGTGTGCTGAAACCTACATCGGAAATGGTGCTCATATCGACTGGCTCCATGTTCGGGCCGACCGGTAAACCAGTGATAACTGAAGTGGCATGGGAAATCCCAATGCACAAATAACCTATATACCGACATTGTTTGTTTTAAATTGGTTGGGTTAACGAGATTCGTGGTAGTGTTTTACCGCCCACAAAACCGACGTAACCCAGCCTTTGTGATCATTGATATTCTACAGATCGACATTTTTAAATTTTGAGTATCAAGTCAATGGTTTGATTTCGAACGCAATAAAAAATAGTTCGTGAAAACAAAAATGAAGTGCATTATAAAACACGGATCAGGTGCTGACGTTTTCATGCGGATATTTTGCAAATGAGATTTTGTATGCGTTTTCGCAGCATCATTGGACTCGGCGTTCATTTATTGGAGACACAAGTATTTCTGCGAGCTTATATGCGCTAAAATATCGCACTGCAGACGGTCGGATTATATAGTTAACCTGTTTCATTAAATATCCATCACATTCATTGGATTTATTCACGCCTTCTTTTACAATCTCTCTTAATCACAATCAATTATAGATTATCGCTGACCTTCCCACTAGGTCACGCTCTATTGTTATTCTCTTTCTCCGTTGAGCTCCCTCAATTCTGATTTCCCCTGTACTATTTATAACCCTTCGGCACGGACCTTAAAGAAAACACCGTCTTCTGTTGTCAAGAATGAGTGTGTATTGGCCCGTTACCTAGCAATGAATGTCCTATTGTTGAGAACGTATTATTTGGGAATGTATTTACCCAGCCGTTGCCCAGTAATTGGCATATGTGTCACAATACTCTCTTCCCCACTACGCGTAGGTCTAAAATGTACCGGATCTAAAAGTAAAATGGCTAACGTTGATACCATTGTTCCATATATTTCTTTTTGTTTTATTTCAGAAAGAATTATTTGCTTCCAAAGTCGAGAGCGCGTCCGACTCCAACCGCGAACGTAAAATGTCGTCCTCTTCAACCGGAAGTATGAAAAATAAATGGTTGAAAGCGTTCAAGAGTCTGAAGACTACGAGTACTCCAAGCAACGGCGCAGTCAACAAAGAATGTGAAAAGTAAGTACGATGAAATTGAACTCATTTTCTTATACATGCTTTTAGAAGTGTCATGACATTTTATGTTTCAGTCGTATCCATTTTTTTGGCAAGTAACAACATCCTCCATACAGTTCCAGACAATAAAACGAAGTGCTATATTTCTTCATGAACACTGGCGGCGTTTCTCTTGTCACCCTGTCCTTCTCAAAATCATGTGATCAGTACATATCATTATCCATATAACGCGGGATAGTTTATATAAATGTCACATATTCGGTAGGCTCTCAGTTCAGATGATGCCTCGAAAAGTCTCTTTGACTGAAATATCTGGCGGATTCTCTCGTTTCTTCCGTGAAAATGGTTGATTTGTAAATGTGATGCAACCGTCTTCCTTGGAAATGGTTGATTTGTAAATGTGATACAACCGTCTTCCGTGGAAATGGTTGATTTATAAATGTGATGCAACCATCTTCCGTGGAAATGGTTGATTTGTAAATGTGATGCAACCACCCTCCGTGGAAATGGTTGATTTTTAAATGTGATGCAACCATCTTCCGTGGAAATGCTTGATTTGTAAATGTGATGCAACCATCTTCTGTGGAAATGGTCGATTTTTAAATATGATGCGACCATCTTCCGTGGAAATGGTTGATTTGTAAATGTGATGCAACCATCTTCCGTGGAAATGGTTGATTTGTAAATGTGATGCAACCATCTCCCGCGGAAATGGTTGCTTTTTAAATACGGAGCAACTGTCATCGTAATGCCGATTACTTTACATTTTCCATTAGACAACCGGGCTGTGAGAACATTTGCAAATAACAGGGGCCTAAGAAACAAGAGACTGTAGAAAATTTTATAGTGGGAAGCTTTATAATTAACATTCCTCATCAAATATTATTAGGGCATCAAATTAAAGATTGCTGAAACATGTAGCACGCATGCAGAAATTAAAACTTCCTACTAATCTTAATTCGGAATACTGAGGGCAGAACATTACTTTGGAAACTTACAGGTAGTTTGGAGGATAATATTAAAATATATCTTAATATTATTAGGTTGAGGGCGTGGTTTGGATCCATATGGCTTGAGATCGAATTCAGTGACTGTCTCTTGTAAAGACGACATTGAATCACCAAGTTTCAATAAAGGCGCGAAATTTCTTCTGACCAACTGTTACGTTATCACTATTGGCTGCTCGAAGGGGGAAATACCTTTCTGGCTTGAGAAAGGCGTATGATGATATGTGGCACAATTATCACACAAGTATTCAAAATCGTAACGTTTTTCACTATATGAGAAGCGTGCGTGTAACTCCTTAAGGATTTTCAGTTTCGTTTATCATTAATTATTGTCTGGTTTTGTGGAAGTGTAGGTATTTATATAATAAAGAAGAGATGACTTTTCTTACAATTGGTTTCTTGCTTGTGTTGCTTTATTTTAATGTCTTTGAGGGCATAACTATATGAAGAATTCAGTTATCAGATTTATTACACCAAACCATCAGTTTGGCGCATGATTCGCGGATTAACACTAATTATTATGGTATATGAGCTAAATCCATCAGTGTCATTCAAGCTTTCACATCGGCACTACTCTGTGCTTCTCTCATGACACCACTAATTTGTCCCTTACTACCCAGACTTCAAGTGTTGGACTTGGAGAAGCAAACATGTTGCTATTTAAGTGTGACATAACTGGAAACAATACGCAATAATAGCCGAATCATGAATTGTTATTGCAGGATATTCATAGCACTACAGCGCGTTATAATTTTGAATGGGAAAAGTTTCACATCATCATAACCTTATATCTCTGTCTCACTCTGCCATACTAACGGTCACTCATCCGTGCTCTTATTTGATTCCCAACTTCAGTAAAGGTAACTTAACCGAGCCGACCGAGTCAAGCCGTCAGAAACATTATGAGTAGCATGAACGAGCATTTTGTGAAATGGATCACAGGAATGTTTTAAAAGGAGATTTAACAAGTTGAAGCTAACGTACTGTCCGTGCATGATGGCATCAAAAGATCTTTCTGAAATCATTGTTGTGTAAACTACCAGTATGTTGCATAATTGTTACCCGTTTACTTGCATTTTATTTTGTTTGTAATATAAAGTGTTCTTTTATACAGTCATGCGCTCTGCTCTATTTAACAAACGTGACATATGATTCCTAACAATACCAACACCTAATACAGTATTTTTTCTATAATATTAACTCTTAAGCCTCACGTATACGGGTCGAGAAACCAGTCGAGATTTCTCGCAGTTTAAATCGATCGAGACAGTTCGGAACGAATTATATGCACAACATCTGCTACATCGAGGACAACGCCGTACGCTGATGGAGTGAACGACATATGCACATAGACAGGGGCAAACGTGACAGCAACAGAGGGCTTACACATTGAAACAACAGGCCGCCGAAACAAAGAAAAAGTACGGTAGAACTGTACGAGTATACTGTTTGGACAAGTGGACAACGCCTTAGAGAGGTGTAGGAAATGTGCAAAATTGAAGAAGAGTAATTCAAATTTAAATTCAAATTTAAAAATTCTATTGAAATTTTAGTTAATTGCAATAGAAAGTGAGTCACAGTGTATGGTGAACTGATTAATGTTATGTAAGATTTGAGGCTTTCACGGCGGTGACTATGAAGAAAGCAGTATTATGGGATTTGGCACCGTGTATATGTGGTGTTAACCGACGTTCCTCCGAAACGTCGGTTAACACCACATATACACGGTGCCAAATCCCAGAAGACTGCTTTCTTCATGATTAATGTTAGCTGGATCGTAACCGCAACATTAACATGGAACAATATGGAAGTGAAATGTATGACTAATGTTCAACAGTTTTGGAGAATTGAGTGCCTTATGATGGCCGATTGGTGCCGAAACATATGGCAAGAAATAAAGTGCTTGCACTGTTGATGGATCTGTAATACAAACATTCTGTGTGAATGCATGGGAATCGTTTCACACATTCTTGTAATTCGAGAAGTTCTCAGCTCATATATGAAAAATCTGAGGGGCGGATTTGCGTCAATAACTCATTTACTTTGTAAAAAACCTGTATGTTCTTCTCCAAAGCTGTGAGGAGAATCAAACGGCTGTAATGCGCATTGATATCACTTACTGCTTCCTTTATGACACTGCAAAACTTTCTGAAAACACACAGCATTCTCAAGAGAGCGGTTTCATATATTTTTACCTCTGTAGTTCCTGTCAGTTGTGTGCTACAAAAGTTATTCTGCTTTGTAGAGTGGTTAAATTTAATTTTAGTTTCATCTTTAGAAAGAGACGTCTTCGAAGGGAAGTAAATTTCAAGCAGGCAGTACACGCTTGCTTTCTGAAAGTGTGACATCTCTCGGCCGCTGAAAATCTGGCAGTCCTGGATAACAGTCCCATTCCAGAAGCTGCGTATCGCAGTCGTACAGAGACTGTCTACACGGAGTAAGAATCAAGTCCTGGTACCGCGACATCTCGATCGGTTTCTCGACCAGTGAACACGGAACTTCACAGTCACTGCATAGTCTGTTTTCCGTTCCCATTATCATTGATGTTTGTGTACGTTACCGCACCGTGACTAAGGTCCTTATAGTATAAAGTATCAGTGTTTGGTAAGTTGTATATAATGAACTGATGTTTATGCAGCCAAACTAATTATACCGCCAAATAAATTGGCTCTAAAACGTATCCGCGCTTCACGTAGAAATGCCTTGTTCTAATTTATACTCAGAACGGGGTCAACAAGTGAAAAGTTTTGGTGAAGTCACGGTGGTATATACGGTCGATTGCATCTTCATTTTTCTTATAAATATTGGAGCCGGGGTAGCTCAGTCAGTATAGCGACTGGCTACAGGCTGGATGGCCGAAGAGTCGGTGTTCGAGTCCCGGTATACTGAAGAATTTTCTCTTCTCCGCGCCGTTCAGACTGGCTCTGGGGCCCACCCAGACTCCTATGCAATGGGTACTTTGGGTTCTTTCTCCGGGTGTAAAGTGACCCGGGCGTGAAGCTGACCACTCGTCTCCAAATAGTGCTGAGGTCTGAATTCGTTGATCTACATATCCACTCCACACTCCTTCATGGCGTAGTGCTTAATTAGTTAAGCACAGGGACAAATTTACTTTTTATTGCCTAATAAACGTTGGGAACGTAAGTGTTCTCTGAAGTACGTTAGTGAAATTACAATTTTGTGAATTTCATTTCCTTTTTGTCAGGCTACAATATTAGCCTCAACAATACGTTATGCATCTCCATAATAGAGTAGACAGACATAAATTTATGTTATCCCTATTCAATAAATTGTTCCATTTGCAATCTAAGCTGAAGCGATCTTCTGTGTTGTCACAATCGATGTTCTCGAAACTGTCTTTATGAAGATGTCTATCTTCCGGAATATGACGCAGTGTAGTCTAGTGGAAGTCAAAAGACGTTTAGAAGAAAATTACCACCTCCATCTTGAATTTGGGAAAGTAAGCCAAGCAAGTAGCCACTATGATGGGAGACAATAATAAAAGCCGAGGTGCCTGCTTCATGCTGGATTTTTGCTCGGCTCATTCTTCGAACCTGAAGATGGAGGCAGTACCTTACTCCGAATCGTCGGCGTACTTATGCCGAACAGGAGATAAAATGTTCATAACCGAGAGCTATTCTCTGCTGCTTTTATCTCTTCGGCTGTTTAATTAGCTTGGTTGATTTCCCACAATTTTTCTGTCAACTTTATGAAAATTCACCTTTTTTATTGCAGCGTAAGAGTCACCACATATCCTCAAAGGTCCGTATGTTACCATTCTCTGTAACTTAATTCTTCCACCCTTCTCCCAGTGTAGCCAACAGTAAATGTTACCATGTAGATTTAGACAATATGAAAAGTCAACTTGCGTTTCCAGTAATTTTCTGATTCAATATAAACATAGCCCTTACTTGCTTAGACAGTGATGTGAGTTTCATCATATGGATTTCCACAGTTTATATAAGAATTAAGGTGCTTAAACATCTCGGTTATTGA